TCTAGGCCATCATACTAAAATGGTCTAGAAAGCGCGCCAGACGAATATCTAGGTCATTGAGAAGAGTGGTGGCCTAGAAAATGCATATTGCAAAAGTTAGGCCACCATGTTTAAATGGCCTAGAAATCACCCCCTAAGCCAATTCTAGGTCGTATCTAGGTCATTTTAACGTGTTGACCTAGAAAATGCAACGTGCAAAAGTTAGGCCACCGAGTTGAAGTGGCCTAAAACACACCAGACGAACATTAGATCATTTCTAGGCCATTTTAGCATGGTGGCCTAGAAAAATCCAACTTGCAAAAGTTAGGCCACCATGTTGAAACGGCCTGCCTGTTGGAAATTTCCAACTTTTAACTGAAATTGATTGATTTCCAGCTGAAAAATTCTATTTTTAGTGTTTAGAAATTCCTAAATTTCGAGTCAAAAATCCTAATTTCAGCTTAAAATTCCTCGATTTCAGGTCGAAAATTCCTGATTTTCCAGCTGAAAATGCTCATTTTTATGGAATTTTAAACTGAATTTTCCGAATTTTTGGATTTCAAATTCTCATAATTTTTTGTTAAAAATCGATCGATTTTCTAGCTGAAAACTCCAAATTTTAAGCGAAAATCGTTAATTTTTGTTTTCCAGCAAATAAACTGAAATGGCGCCCCCTGTCCGGTCGATACGCTCGTCAGAATGACGCACGTCTTCGTGATAAATACGGACGTCTTCGTGTGGAAACCGTAGCAATCGACGCGATGTATTTTAAAACGAAAGCTATTGCGGAACAAGTGACATCGGACAGTTTGACGAGAGAAATGAAGAAGGCCTACACTGGATTCTCGCACAATCCGAGCACTTTGGTCAGATTCCGATTGTCACTGGATTCTGGGGATGTGGGGCGTTCAATGGGCACAAACCGCTGAAATGTAAGCCTGAAAATCGGTTGAAATTCTGTTAAAGGTGTTACCAATTGACACATTTTCTGACCGTATTCTCGCCATGACTCCCTTAAAATGTTTCATCGTCTGGCCTTCTTGAAATGTACAAAACACTAATGGCCGCTTCACCATTCCGGCTATGATCACTTGTTGGAGGACTGCAAAACAGACGAATTTTACCAAGGCTGTGCAAAAAGGCGGCTGGTCGCGGCTTTTTTTGTGAAAGCCGTGAAAAGCCGCGGCTAGCCGAGGCCGGCCGCGAATAGCCTCATGAAAACGCGTGAAGTGAAAATCAATTAGTTTTTGAATAATTTCGTTTTTTGTTCTATTTTTCAAAAAAAAAAAAATCTACGTTTCTCATGAAACAATTATT